AATTATTTCGTGATAACTTTAGAACATAACGCTAAGGAAATGGAAAAAATACATGTGTACGTTGTTGTGTGTAACGGTTGCCCTTACGACTATACAAGTGACTACACTTTCTACCACAAGTACTGGTAAGGGAAGTGTGACCACCCCTAAAAAATGTAAACCTACTACAACTACTACAACGACATATTGGGGCAGAAGTTGGGAACATTGGCCTTTAAAAACACGGATACGACTTCAACAAGTACAACAAGTACTTCTATTGGAGGAGAGGGTGGACGCGGCGGGGTAGGTTCAGGAAGCGGAAGAGGTAATTGCACAAAATGTTATTTAAATTTTTCAGTTTCAGGGAAATAAAGAATCAATGTGTCAACCATAATGGCAATGTCACATGTAAAACATGAACTTTTGAAGATTTATCATTGTCGAGAAACTTATTTTTGAGCAATCTATTCAACCATTTTATTATTGTATTCGGTCGCCTTATTCACTTTAATAAGATGTATGTCCCTTTTTCATAGGTATTCAGAGAATTATTAGCTATGTATATACTGCGTGAAAACCTGATAGAAAACTGTACGAACGTGAAATAATGCACACAGGAGCATCTGAGGTGTTCCTCCAAAAGTAAAACTAGAAGATGCGATATGAATTTAACACCGTCGATGAGACCTAATAATATCTAAGGTCCTAACAAATACTTAAACATTCAGTTTAAAAATCTTCTACGATAATTTTAAAATTACAATTTAACAGGGTCTTTCAAATAGATAAAAGACCCTGAATTATCATAATAATTATTGACGCCCTGAATATCATTCAATGGCAAGTGGCTAATTAATTTCATGAAAGCTAATTTGCAAATGTAAAGCAATTTTTCGCAAAATAATGCAAAAATAGACAACCCAAAAATGCGAAGAAAATCAGCTTTGTCGTAAATTTGTGTTTATTGGCAAAAGGCAACACAATTTAAATACTGTATGTGTATTTAAATTCGCGGAAGCAAATTTTCGCGGAAAGGTCCATTTTGGGGATCTATACAAATATTCGCGCTATTTTGAATTCGCGGAGGTGACTGCTGAAAATCATAAATTCGCGTACACCGATCAGGCTTAAAAAATACTCTTACACGAAAATAGGCAATATGGTTTGTGCAAGCAGCCTTCTATCATGTTATGTACTTTTTACTGTAATCATTGTAGGACTTCACAGTTATTTTCAACACCTGATGTCAAACAATACGCTATTGTACAAGACAAATACATTCAATTTGTCTAGCGGACATATTATGGCAAATAAAAGAATGTCCGTTAACGTGCGTTGTTTTTCACAGTTTTAAACAGCACTGAATGTGAGTGTGTTTTGTTTTACGTGTTTTCATCAGTCAAAATCGTTAATGTTTGTGTTATTTGTATTGCTTTTTTTTTACAAAACAAAATATGATCTTATCAGATGTAAAGACGTTAACTTTATGACATAGATTATGAAATAAATAGCGTGATGCAATGGTATTGTTCAAGCATGTTGTTACGTACATATGTATGTACTGAGTTATTGCGCCAATATTAGCGTCACGTTTAGCGTGACGCGCCTTTTTATATGTTATTGTATTGACGTCATTATATGAGTTGACTTCCGGTAATCAGAAATAAAACAACGTTATTGAAGAACTAGTGCAATATTTTGATTATTTAGTGTTTACACAACACATGTATATACTTACACAAGAATCTGAGGGGGCAGGGGACATATTCGTACTTTGGCCCCGGTGAAATTTATTGATAATACAGACATGGTGTTTTGAAGGTGTTGAAAATTGTTTATATTTCTTTGTTGATGTAATTCTTTGTAATTTGTATGTAGGAAATGAGCTAAATTTATATGTTTGTGTGCGAAACTTAGCCTTCGGTAGCTTTGTATGCATTTTTGACTCTTCAAAAGGAGGCTGAAAAACTGTAAATTTCAGATTGTCATCTGCTACAGAACGAGTAAGAAACTTTGATAAAATTTTGCAAAAAATCTAAACGTATGACAGACACTTTGTTTAGCATTTTCATACTTTATGATCATTTTACTATAGAAAATTTCTATAATTAAAGACATTAGGCGGATTCTTAAGTGTTATGCGTCTTCATGAAGATTGGGCATATTCCTTTATTTTCAGCCTGATTTTGGATGGGTGGGGGGTAATATTATTTGCTCTCAGATTGTACTATATGGAGCAATGGATGCATATAGTTATTTTTTTCAATGTTTGTCATATATCCTTGAATACTGCCAAGCAGTAAGTTTTTCACATGTTTATAAAATCAAAAAAAATTTGGTAATGTGTTTAACGGCCTCACGGAACTAAAAATTGCTCATTTTTAGGTCCCCTGCCCCCTTAAGGAAAATTTCATTTTTTGAAAATGTTTTGAAATTAGCAATTTTTTACTGCAAAACATTTGTAAGACACTTATTAACATTATTTGATACAATTCATTGGATTTAACCTACTTCTGAAAAGCAAATGGCCTGTTTATTAAAGGGAGGTAATAAATACACTGAAAATTGACAAAATTTGTTAGTTACCCAAGCATCATGAAAATGCATATTTATTGATTATAGAAAGCTTTGTATTGCTCAAATTAACATTTTAACATATAATTTAACAGTTTGATGCCTTAAAGGTTAATTTTTTGTAGAAATGTCTTCTCATTTACATTTTCTATATGAAAATCCTAGTTATTATAGCCTGACTAACTATTATTTTTTTATTTTCACTAGAAACAGTCATAATGGCCAGTTTTCTATTTAATTTATCTTTAACAAGTGATGAAAAAGCACATGTTATGTCGGTTATTGACAAAAAATCTGTGTCTGTTGGTAATTGCCTGAAATGGCATGGTACGGTGGACACAGATGGCTACGGCCAGCTACGTTTTATGCTTCGAGGGCGCAGGGTAAAAGTTAGGGTTCACCGTGCGGTGTATTTTTTAGAAACTGGTCAGGTTCTTGACCCGAAAATACATGTATCACACCTGTGTCATAATAAATTATGTATAAATTTGAATCACTTAAATTATGAGCCTCAGGGTGTTAACAATGCAAGGAAAGTTTGCTTTAATGAGGGGGTTTGTACTGGTCATTATGGCTATCCAGCTTGTAGACTTTAAGGTATGTGCAAATAGTTGACACTGTTTACTTTGCATTATGATAATGAACACATTGTTTGCAGTTTTCAGAAGTTTATTCATTTTTGGTTGTTTATTGTTACAATTAAGACACAAATGAGACAATTTAAGAGTAGAATCAGTGAGGGAAAATAGCAATGTCAACAATACAGTATATTTATTGAAACTGAAATCAAAACACAACATACTGATTTCACACATGTAATAAATTTCTCTTTAATCAGTTCAAATTAATTTTCCATTGTTAAAAAGACCAAAACAAGAATGCGCATATTGAACCGATTTGTGAGTGCGCCCATTTTATTTCGTTATTGTCAGATTCACAGTACATTACCATTCCGATGTCGAAATCATTTAGCCGTAATGACAATTTATTTGAAGTAAAATATTTTATAGATAGTGCCGACAATTTGTAATGTATGTGAATTTGCAAGTTTATATTTGTAATGTCTTTTATTTATTAAGATTAATAGCATACATGTGGTCTTCCACAGATGCTGACTGTGATGAATACAGAGAGCTTTGTAGTAACATTCTACTCGAACGCCTCTGTTTGCTGCGATATTTTGCGGTCTTGTAGAATGTCTCTTTCTTCCTTAAGGTATGGTAACGTGCTGTCTGCTGCATGTACATTGCATACTTAAACAGCGGGTCATCGGTTCGAACCTTGACACCCAATTTTTCCGCCAGTTTTAGGAGTGACAGTCCTCGACCTATACTGGCACCGATAGTAGCAGAGTGGCATAGGCCGGAAAAGTTACGGCTCCATACAGTGCTTTTTGGGGCATATGAAAACATTCGGCTATGCATGCTTTCACACATATTTGTTGTTGCCAGCTTTGCTGTATCTCTCAGCTGTTGAACACCACAGTACTTATTTATTATGTTTGATAATGTTTTCATGTCACATGACGATAACTGAAGATTTCGTCCATATGGCAAATAGATGCGTTGTTTTTGCTGTTTTAGGCGTGCCTGGCAAACCACTGACTTCCGGCGGCAACCATTGTGCTTGCCACTGAAACAGTCCAGAATGTTTTCAATAGCATCTCTGGCTCTCTGTATGTACTGATCTTGCTGGTGAAAGAGTTTCTGCATTCTGGTAAGTTCCAATCGTACACGAATACGAATACTTGTTGCCAATTTTGCCCTGTATGCGGCAAGGTCCATGCCTCTTGGGACCTTGATTTTGGCTGCACGAAGCTGCTTATGCATGTTCCGCATTGCATGGACAAAGCATTTATAGTGTTGCACTTTAGTGCTTGTCTTAACATTATGCTCTCTAATAGCTTTAGCGAGAGATAAACTTGCATCTGTCGTGACGGATCGAACTTTTATAATATTTTGCTTTTTAATTTTTTCTAGTGATTTTTTAAGGAATGCTGATTCAGCTTGATTTATTGATGTGTGGTCAGAATAGTTCTTTTTGCAATGCTTGTTGTTGTGATCACATTCTTTTCTCATGCATAATTTATTTCCAACATTAATGTCTATAGGTAGATGTTTTAAGGTAGATTTTTCAATTACAGGCGCGAAAACTTGTGTGGCAGTGATGTTGTTTGCTTGTGGCCTGCTTGTGTAAGATGCATCGAATTCCACATCTGTTTCAGCAGAGGCTCCAGACAGGTGAGTAATAGTCTTGACATACTCCTGATTTTTTAACATTTGATCCTGGCAAATATCTTCCACTTGATCTGACATAATGTTCAGTTTTCTTTGCATTCCCCTCTTATCTGGTGCTTGAATGTTAAGGCATGCTAAGACAAGCTGCACATCAGCAATGCCCATCTTAGATGACATAACTGGCAATAGCAAACTAGAATTAAGTGTCCCACTTGGTTTCCCATGCCGCTGTTCTATCGTTTGGGACAAGGACTGAGCCCCTGTTGTAAAGTTACAGTTGGTACATTTAATGGTAACTTCCACACACACCCCCCTTCTGTCAGACACTACAGTTTTAATATTAGGCTGAATACAGCTATGTTTTGCCACTAATTGCAGAATGCAGCCTAGCTTCTTAGAGTTAACAATGAAATTTTCATTGCTTCCTTCACATGCTAACTCACTGTCCTTCACACTTTCAGGCTTTGACTGTGCGCGGCGTGGGCGTAACTTGAATGGCAGAACTGAGGAATTAAGTCTTTGACCAGCAGCATTTAGTACATCATCCGCAACTGATTGCTCAAGACGCACAAAAGATTCCGGACACTGGTTAATTGGTAAATCCACATTTCTGGAACAAGATGCTGAATTAACACTGTTGTTAATGTCATAGTTTGGATAAAAACCTTTCTTAAACAGTGCGCCTTTTGCTCGCCTAGCAACATTGTGCTTATAACTTAAATTTGAAGTTTTTTTTAATTTGTCTCATTATTAACTTAATTGTACATGCAACTCAAAGTGCTTATTGATACTGAAGCTGGGCAAAGATTTGTTTGGGGACAATATTCTTATGTTTCTTATTTTTCTGTGTTTAAGAGTCTTAAATGAAGTAAACAGTGTCAGGTCATTAAGGAATAACTACTATTTGTCTTTCTTTTGACCGTTATAAGCAGAAAGGTAAACTTTGGAATTATAGTACTTATCTCCCTTTTACTTTGTCATTGTAAACTCTAATACAGCCAAGCTGTTTAATATATTTAAATCTGAAAATAATTACCTTTAAAAATGAACTAAGAGTGCATTATTTTAGCAATATGACTATATATTTATATGAACATTATATATTTTAAATTAATCAGTGCTCATTCCAGTCATAGAAGTATATCTTCATATAATATATATATTGAGGTCTAATTTGCAGTGTACATCATTTTGTGCATGGAAATAGAGCTGCATGCTTGATTTTTTGGTGAAAATCATGTAATATAATGCTTGAAATAACAAAAAAGATTGCTTTGGGTCTTAAAATGTGCTGAAACCAGGAAAAAATGCATCTATATAGTTTTCTGTCACTTAGAAGAAAATCAGTCATACTACAGAAATGGACATTGTACTGGTTATTTCCCTTGAAATTAGACCTTTTTCTAAAACTGGGATAAAATAAGATATAAACACACTATTCAAATTTCAAATATACCATTTTATTCAGAATTGTCTATATTTCAATAAAACAACAGCAAATATGACAATTGGGAGCACATAAAAATACTTAAGGGGGCAGGGGACATATTCGTACTTTGGCCCCGGTGAAATTTATTGATAATACAGACATGGTGTTTTGAAGGTGTTGAAAATTGTTTATATTTCTTTGTTGATGTAATTCTTTGTAATTTGTATGTAGGAAATGAGCTAAATTTATATGTTTGTGTGCGAAACTTAGCCTTCGGTAGCTTTGTATGCATTTTTGACTCTTCAAAAGGAGGCTGAAAAACTGTAAATTTCAGATTGTCATCTGCTACAGAACGAGTAAGAAACTTTGATAAAATTTTGCAAAAAATCTAAACGTATGACAGACACTTTGTTTAGCATTTTCATACTTTATGATCATTTTACTATAGAAAATTTCTATAATTAAAGACATTAGGCGGATTCTTAAGTGTTATGCGTCTTCATGAAGATTGGGCATATTCCTTTATTTTCAGCCTGATTTTGGATGGGTGGGGGGTAATATTATTTGCTCTCAGATTGTACTATATGGAGCAATGGATGCATATAGTTATTTTTTTCAATGTTTGTCATATATCCTTGAATACTGCCAAGCAGTAAGTTTTTCACATGTTTATAAAATCAAAAAAAATTTGGTAATGTGTTTAACGGCCTCACGGAACTAAAAATTGCTCATTTTTAGGTCCCCTGCCCCCTGATAATCATATCAGTCAAACAATAATACACTAGCAAACTGATTTATATACAGAGCAGAACGGTAAAATTACTCTTTGAAAGTGCCACGGATACCAGACTTACAGCAGCCGTGATCACACTGATTACATTGTTTAATTGATGCGCGAAAATATGACTATTAAGAAATTATTGGTGTAGAAATATTCGCGCTGAACATGAATTCGCGGATCGAAAGTAACCGCGAAGATCGCGAAAATTTGAAGCCCGCGAATATTTCTACACATACAGATAGTATGTCGTCCAACCCAGTGGTTCACCTCCACATTACAATGTGGTGCTTTTAGATTATTCTCATAACTTATGCATTCTTCTGGACATCCAATGTACTTTGTATTGACGATTCATAATCAGTGGAAGTCGTACCCAATTTTGTAATAATTATTAAATATAGTTACAAATGTAGTATTGTCGTATTTTATAACTTTGATTCATATGTAAGATTTGAAGGAATATAATCTATCCATATCTCTACACGTATCTGTATTAACAGTAAATATGAAATTACAGCGTTTATTCTTATTTCATACAGAACTTTTAAAAAAATGTTTGATGATATTGAGCACTTTATTTAATTATTGATTTGAAAAAAAATATGTTATGAATATGATATGTCAGCCATTTGAAATATATTTCATAATTGTTTTATCTTGAAACAATAATTTTCAGTTTATCCGTCTGGTGAAATGACTGTAAACCTTGATGATACTGGAGTTGTCAGTGGTCATATACCTGGTGTTTCTGTAACTTCCGGTGTGACCCATCGGTTTGGTGGCAAACCATGCAGCAGACAAGCTGTATTTAAGGTATTTTACAGATGAAAGAAAATGATAAATAAATTAAAAATATAAATAGATAAAAATAATAAATAAAACAACGTCGTTAAAAAGGAACTATTCCTTTGATTGTAATGCTCGACGACATTGTTGATATAAACAGTATTTATGTGAAAGCATAAAGGATAACAACCACTTCGAAACAGATTTAGTACCTGAAAAGGCAGTTCTCATATTTTTTTTCGAAAACTGCAAGCCATTTATTACTAGTATACAAACGAATTAATTATATAACTATATCTGATTCAACATTTTTGATAAAACCATTGGCAATTCTAATGACATATTGCCAAATTATAAATCAAGTGTGAGACGGATCGACATAATGTTTTTAACAACTTAGTAATCGAACTGTTAACTATTGTTCGGTTCACCACCTTTTTATGTTTCAGTGAAATTTCTTGTGAAATTAGATTACCATTGTAACATTTTTACTTTTTGTCTGTATTCATTCTCGTCGATAATTTTAGAAATATTGACTGACTTTCGCCATAAGTGTTATAAATTTATGTCGATATAGTCGAATCAAAATATCATATATACGTTTTTTTTAGAAATATTGAATGACTTTCATAATTCTGTCGATATAGTCGATTCAAAATATCATATACACGTTTTTTTAGAAATATTGACTGACTTTCATTATAAATTTTATACAAAGGTTATTTTCAGGTTCATTTTGCAAAGGAAAAAACATTAGAGCATTGCGTTGAGGACGAAAAACTATACACGAAGTTGTATGCACAGCGAATGTTAAAAATCCAAATGTATCTTTCAAATGGCGAACGAAGCGGTTTTATGTTTAATATTGGCGACAGCCGGACAAATGATGGTTACAGTACGTATGAATTTTTAATAAAATTATTGATCTTGTCATGATTGTTATGAATTCAAATACATCCTGAATTATGCACATCGTGTACTTTAATGTAATTATTTTCCATCGATATAATAGCAGGATGACATTTATACTGCGTCAAATATCAAAAATAATAATAAAAAAACAAAGTTCGAGTTTATATAAAATTAAATTTAACTTAGCCCTCTTTATTGTTAACATTTCCATTTATAAGTAAACATTAAAATAATTCAAAATAATTCATTGCATAACAATAATTCAAATAAATTAATAAATATATAAATAGATAAATAAATGATTAATTATATAATGTAAACAAAACGTTTTTATTTTGTCCGGGATCCCAAAACAAATAATGAGAAACAATGGAATAAAATTTTGCTAGGTGTCGTATTTGAACTTGATATGATTATACAAATGTACTCAGTAGGTATTTGATACAATGTGTCATTTGTTAGTTGCAAACATAGTACGAATGAAAATGTAGCAAATTAAGGTTATAAGAAAACAATGTTTTACCATATCACAGAAGGAGATTCTGGAACCCAAAGCTATGATGCTGAAGTACAGGGAACATCACGTGACTTGGCTGTATATGGTAATGACCACTGTCCAAGTACACAGGACATGTAAGAAAAATATCCTTTTAATTCCAGTACCTGTATATGAATCTGCAGATTCAAAAGTTATAACCGAATGTAAACAGTCTAATCGTTCATTCCACAGCTTTTTCTAATATGTTTAACTGTATTTTTTGAAGCAGGATGCTAACAATCATATGAATTTCCAGTGTTAATAATGAATTTCAATTTTCATATGTTTTCATCAAACTTTTCTTTTGTATTTGCAGGCACTACAACGCATTGGAATACCCAGTAAGTCTTGCAAATTTTTGGGTACGCAACAAATATCTTAAAATGTCAAATGATTACGGTTTCCTTCGTTCAAACTGCAGTGAATGTTTATTTGGTTTGAATGGCCAAAATGACGCTCAAGGACAGGAAAATGAGGACATTTACATTGGAGCAAATAGGGTTATCTTCACTGGGGTAAATTATAGGACCGGTGTAGGACTTTGTTCAATGAAGTTGCGCAGGGTTTCAGGACCATTTCAATAATGTTTCTTGTTTATAATGTTATCAATGCATGTTTGCATTTAAATGATACCATAATCGTATGCGTAGTCGACCAAAAAGAATTTTGTTTATATTTGAAAATATCTTAAACGAGTAACTTAATCATGTAAATTATTTGTTTTTAATTTTTGTCCGGCACGTAACCCGAACATTTTTATCATTTGAAAATTCACTAGGGGAATAGATATCTTTCAGATGGAACGCAGTGCGCAAGAGTAATAACTCTTTCTTCCATAATTTTTCAGTTGTTGCGATTTGCTATAATTGCTATGCTTAATTTGTTTATTACTTTGTGATGCTTAGTTTTTTCTTGAGCGTTACTTGAAAAATATCTTTGATAAAAACTTAAAACTTCATAGGCGAATAGATCTCAGTAAGATGGAATACAAAGCAGAGTAAGATAATTTAACCCATCATTATTTACGAGATACTGCTTTTAGTATTTGCTTTTTACCAGATGAAAAAAGAAGCTACGTATGAATAAATCCCCTTATAAAGTTTGCTTTCATTCATAAAATGTATTTTACTTTATTCGAAGGATATGATATAATCATGTTATTGCGGTGCCACTGTAGTTTGTGAATATTAAAATACAACATGATTAATTGCTTTTTTTGGATTGCTTGACATTTTGTAAAATGTATATACACGGCGGCTGTAAATTTATGAAGTAGTTTTTTGTATTTTATTTCGAATTGTGCCGTTTTTAGTTCGCTTATTAATAATTTTCTGTCTGTTCATAAGACAGTGGTTTCAAGTTCGTTTGCAAATTAGTTTACAGCCTTATGTAACGGGCAATTATACAGTCATGTAAAAAAGCTTTTATCAAAATTAAGATACTTAATCTGTTCAAAGCTGTATAAAAATAAATATTTACATTTTGCAAATCTTGTTAATTTTAAAGAAGAACACAAAATTTCCCACACTCCCTATGTAGACAGGATGTTGTCCTGTCATTATGGTGTATTGTATTTAATGTTGGATTGTGTGTTTTTTTTAAAGAAGGGCCAACATGTAAGATGAATAACAGAATTACGGAATTGAGAAATGTTAAACAATTCTCAAAAATAAAAATCATGATATTAAAATAGTATTAAATGTGAATATGTTTTAAAGAAATATAACCGATATAATGGGCTTTTGTTGTTTGTGAGCACCAACTGTAAATAAAAATATCTATCCATAACACATATTTTTTGTATATTAACAATAAAACAAAAAATACATTAATTTTATTAAAATGTTATAAGTTCAAAGAATATCTCGACTATAGGATACATTGTATAAGAGCTAAGATACTGTTAGTTGCGGTAAGTCAGGTATTGTTAAAGAACTGAAGATTAAAACTTTTTGCTAAGCTATGCGAGAAGTTACATGCTTTATTGCTGTGATAAATATTGATGATTACTAATCGGAAAGAAAAGATTCTATTTGCTTTTATATCTTTTTTTTAAACAGCACTCGTTGCTTAATGCCAGTGTTGCTCATATTTGTAAGCCATTGGCAATTTTGTCAATAACCGTATTTTTAAACCATGTCAGTTTTTAAAAAAAAGCTTAAGCATCTATATATTAGGTAATTAATAACGGTTATGTTTGTAAGTAATACTTTTACGTAAAATACGTACAGTTGTTGTTTGTTGTAAAATGCAATTCAAAACTCTTTATATTTATTGTCCTAGGGTAACGAGACAGAGACATATGTCACCGTGACATTTGGTTTAAAATTGTTTCGTATTATTTCTTTCGGAGAACGTGACAACTATCCATAACACGGTACAAACATAATAACATATCTGAATCATAATCGCATTATTCGAATGAAATCCTCTTATTTTGTAAATTATGATTAGCAATGAATTATTTATGCAACATGTCTCGAGAACATTAATATAAACAGCGGACATAAAACATGAAATCAATTTTGTAGGATATGATAATTATAGACAGCTGATTACATGTAAAACGCCAGTTAAATTTATCAGCATATTTTAGAATAAATTTATGTTTTATACTAATATATTACGCACACTTGACTTTAATATTAAGATAAAGATCATAAAGCAATAGCAAAGTTCACGGGGAGAAAAGAAAGCCTCACAAGACTACTAGAAAGGCTAGCAGTAGGAGACTAAATGTGGCACATACAGTCACCGGGGGGAGGGGAAGGGGTGCTTGGAGGGGCAAATTCAGACACGAAATGATTCACACACAAACGCTGATCAATATTCGTAAAAAGAGAGAATGGGTGTTGGGGTTGGATGAAAGGTGATTTTAGGGGAATGGATGCATTTTTCAGGAAGGGGGTCAGTGGGGGAAATGTGATAATTAACCGCACTAGAATGTCACATCATTTTTATCATTTAGATCATACGTGCCGTAATCTTCAACTTCTTGTTGGCCAAATACTGGGGACTGCTTTGTTAAGGCCCATACAAATATAGTGAGAGTTGTCCAGTTTTTCAAGTGAAGGTTTATAATTTAGTCATTTTGTGTGAATTCTGCTAACTAATTATACACTCTTGTAATGCATTGAAGGTGTTTTTTGTGTTTTATTTGTAATAAACCTCTTTTATGCGGTTGCAACAAAAAGCAGATTGACAATTTTTTTTTACTTGCTGAATGTTAAGAGTGTTTCGTTATGAATGATTAAATATATCGAAAATAAACATGTTCATATTATGCGTAACGACATGCAAACAAATAACCTTGTTTTCATTTCAGCACTGCAACTTAAATAGTGAGTAATTAATACCACACCGGTGTTTAAATATCATAATAACTTTTGTTTACACATCGCTTTGAATCTTAGACATAGTGTTGTTTTTATGAAGAAGTTGAAGGTAAATAGAACTAATGAAAATACAATGATCATGTTTCGTTTATACTTTTAATTATTTGCATTCCTTTCATTTATAATTGTTTCTGGACAACTAAAGACTCATTCATTTGACCCGGATACCCAACGCAGCTTCATGAAACAGAGTCCATTGCCTACTCTGTCACCGGGAGGTGTGTTAATTACTCTATTTGCCGCAATAAAAATGTCCTCGTTTTCGGGTCCTTCATCATCCAGTTGACCACCAAGAGCAAACAAGCAAGATGAACAGTTGGAGGAAACTAATCCGTTGTCATTCGCTATTTTTACGTAACTGTTTCGAACCCACACATTCACTAAGCTTGCTGGTTGTTCCAAAGCATCAGGGTGACTGCAAAACATAAAATAAAACTGATAGTTATGTATCTAAGTAATAAGTTTATAGGAATACTTAGTACCTTTAAACTTCAAATTCCCATAATTCTCTAGGGTCAAGATATTAACAACATAAACAAATAAATATTAACAAGGATTCGAGGCTCAATAGAATACATACAAAAATATATGCTTACACAAAACACGTAAAGGGAGAGTACTTTGAGTACTTTTAACACACAAAACATTTGTATATAAAAAAATCACACATGTTATATGCATTTAATTATCGTTATATTATTTTTTGAACAATGTCCTTAATTTACAGATAAGTTTTTATATTCAAAAATGCTATGGTTGTTTTTGTATATCATTTTATCAAACGAATAAATGTTTCGTCTGATGTAATAATTGGATCGTAGGTTTTTCTTCTTTGTTAATCAAAATATTTACATTCTACACGGTATTGAATTCGTCCCCAACTGAGTAATAACATAATGTACATTTTTTCAAATCATGTGCTACCCCATGCCAAGATCCTGTTTCTACAAAGCTAGTCTAAAGGCGAAATATCTAAAAAAAACAAAACATTAAACCTTTGGCCACAGAAAACGAATTTTGTTCTAGAAACTTACGGATGTTGATCTTTAAAGGAAATTTACATATTTACCAGTAGTTAAAAACACAAAAAACAAAAACAACAAACATTTCAAGATGGCGTTCTCGGAACGCAGCACACGACACAATCCAGGCACACCAGCAGGGCACCCAGAAGGCACCAAAACAAAAAAGGAGGGGGCACAGAAGGGATAGACCAGTTAAGAACTTACTTGCTTGATATGCCAATACAGTGGTCATTACCATGTACTTCTATATTCTGGTTTCGTCCATGTATTTCAGAATCGTAACTCTGAGTGGCTCCGTCCCCGCCTAGAAGATAGAAGAATGATTTGGGTGGTTAAATGGTAGATATTTGTAAATTGGTTTTATTAATCAAATTTGAGTTATACACCACCTGACTGAGTAATCGTCTTTTCATTTTGACATTATTTATAATTGTTAACTCATTTGTTAAAACTTAATAGCATCTCGATTTCGTTACAAATAGTACACTATGAATGCATTCAAACGTATTTATTTAACAGCACTTGGTCTGTAGCCGAATGGGTCAAATCAAATAGGCTGTCATCTTGTATAGTTTAAACTATATTAACCTGTCAATCGCATACTATTTATACTGTCAGTGCAAACGGTATGGTAATCTTCGGACAAGTTCAGGTAAAGCCCGTAAAATTTACACATACGGACTACAAATCGTAATATGAACCAATGTTATTCAAGATAATAATGAAGTCAGAGATATATCGCAACAGGAGTACGATTTGTAATTTATATGTGTACAAAGATCTTTTTTTTAAAATTATTCTTGCAATATGTAACAATTCGACCGTGCAGTTATGTGCAAATTATGTTACTTAATTTTGTCGATTTTGTTTTAAATTGTTTACCGCTTATTCTTTGGAAACATATATTTGATTTGAAAATCTCATTTATAGAAGTAAATAACTAGTAAATGATAATTTATCAAGCCAAATTTATTTTTATGTACCTTTAATTGGCTGATTTATAATATACCTGTTGGAGTGTTTGTTTTGTTGGACTTAAGTCACGCCGACAAACAGGTCATATGTCGACTTCCCAGCTTTACTATAAAGGAAGACCTCAGTTGCCCGTCCGTGCATATTCTCAGGCACAATGATATCGGGAACATATACAAACAAATTTTCTGGTGGGATTCAAATCTACAGCTGCGACAAGCAAGTCAGCGACTTAAAACCATTTTGCCATGGACGCCCAATAAATAAGCTCATTCACATTCGAGTTTTCAGATTTTTCAAACCTTTGTTTGCTTTTAAAAAAGCAGTCCGTTTATCGAAAGGGCTACGAACACTGCTCATGAAATTTTTACTTGGAAAAACATTGTCAAAATTTTTTTTTTATATTTGACGCAAGACTCCACTTACATCCCTTTTGGTTTCCCACATTTTAATTGAACAAAAGTTTTTGGGTCACATTTGATAAATACATTTGATTTTAAGCACCCGGGGGGTTGGAAGATCGGTTTATGTCGACCTGGATAGCGAAAACACGATTTTTCTGTTTCATTCGGGGGGTTCAGTAGACCAAAACGCTGTTCAATTTTTCAGAAGTGAACCATCAACATTATTAATAAAAAAAACCCTTTTATTTTTCGTACTTCTGGCACAATTTTTAAAAGTTAAACTATTTTTCAAAACTTTTTAACCTTTAATCAATAAGTTTAGGAAAATATAGTATTTTCTTGCGTAGATGAGCTAGAACAAATGCCAAAAAGTCATTACATAAGGTTGACACTGTCACTTATAAACAATCGCACAAATTTAAAACTAAAATAACTAAATAACTGACAAATGCTCTAATATTTTGGCATATTGTATTACAAAAAAAAAGTATCTGCAAATATCCAATGAATGAGCATTGTTTACATAAATTAAGCGTTCAGTATTGATATCCGAGTTACATTACTATATCTCAAATATAATCTAAAAAATATATTGTGACATTTAACCACACATGACAAAAAGTGATGTTTATAAGCTTGACTATTCAGAAAAGCAGTCAGAGCTATTGTTCTCGTCCCACAAATATACTGAAGGAATTGAGTTAGAACGTCACAAAAATGTAATTAATCTTGACTTTCTGACTTGACGGGCTCAGGTCCCAAAAATTTGAGTCACCCTTTTACAGATTTATACGCCTTTTCTTACTCTCAAAAATAGCCGAGCACGCAGCTCCTGCTTCACACTATTAATCACTGTGTTATGATACAGCAAGATCATTTGTTGCAGTTATGCATGTACTAGATATTGGAACCATTTTATAACATATACATTTAAAAAATTAAAAAAATTGTCATAACTTGCAAAAAACAAATTAAAACACCTTTTGGGATAGCCCATTTTTTAAATTTGCATAAATTTTCTTTAATTTGTCCAAGGGTTTTAAATGGGGGTTTGAAAAACAATTCGGGGTTTTTTATTTTTATTTAAACAAAATGCAATACACCTTTGATGTAATATCAGTAAAGTAAATTATTTAATTTGATTAAAATACCATTTTACGGGATAAATTCAAAAATACGTTTGAAAAAAATAAATATGATCGATTTCTCTATATCTGTAATTTTTGTCAGCAATTTTAAATTTCCTTCAGTATTTTTTAAAAACAATTTTATAAAATGCAAATTTGTATGCGACAAGTTCTGCCAAATGTTTAAAACTTTTTTTTAAAACCGGACTACGAGAAAAGGACGCACGTAAAGTTACACGAACGCTATCATGTTATTTAAAGTAATTTAAGTATGAAGTTATCATTAAGGCGGAACAATTTACTTTTCTTTTGAAGTAATGATATTTCATTTGAAAAATATGCCAATGGATCTTATTTGTCCGCTATTTTAGCCTGATTTTAATAAATAGCGTTGCAATGTTTTTCTATATTTGGTCATTGTTCACAATTAGAATAATTATTCTTTAAAACAGAGTAAGCACATGATCTGACATTTTGCTCAAACGTTATATTTTCTAGTTATATAGTTACAGTTATATTATGTTCAAATTCAAGACAAAATGTGCGATTCATCACATTAAGTGGAATATCAAGTCCAGTTTGATTTCAAAATATTTTTGAATGAGCATATAATATAAAATTTTAAGTCAAATATCAACAAGGAATTGTGGCCTTCAATGAAAACACAGATCCGTCTACAAATAGCTCACCAAGATACATAGAAACAGTTGTAAACCAAACGTTTCATAATTATAGTGATATATTAATATGCGTTTCATGAATCTATCGGCAAGAGAAACTCTTCTTGAAACAAGTTTAAACTGTAATAAGAGCAATACCTTTAATACAATTTGTCTGCTGCAAGGCTTGTCGTCGATTGGCAACGTCATTGGAGAAACTATAGATACACCAGGTATGTGTCCTGTGATTGCTCCAGTTGCATCAAGGTTAAAACACATCTCGTTTGGCTGGCACACTAAAAAAAAACAATTGAGGTTTTTAGTATTTTAAAGGTATATCACTTTTAATAACTTATTCTATAAGATCTGTACAAAGAGTGATCCTTTGGAAGCATTATTCACAGCAAAATAAACTGCAGACTCAGTTTGATTGAGTCTTACAATGAGGAATAAAGAGAAAGTGCAACAACCCTCAACCCCAGCACCGGCTTGAGCGATACTTAATTTTCATCAATTCAAAGTTCTGTATTCAAAGATCCCGGAGGAGCAGAAAAAGATAACAATTATACTGAATTTTTTCTCGATTGAGAGCCATCTGAAAACGTTTTCATCCTTGGGAAAACTACCCAAATAGTTATAGAATTTCCATTTGTTATTTTAGTTCTAACTTCTCACAAGAGCCCCGAAAGTAACCTTAACAAGCGCATCAGCCTCCGCGGTCAGGATCTGGCATGAATGAAAATATTATACGACGTATTATTACTTTATAAAATTTCTAGTTTGAAACTCTAGTTTGAAAGATTAAGCAGGTGCTAGGGGGCGTGGACGGTAACTTGCACTTACCAGTACCGTCCATGAAAAGGCTCAATCAAACCGAGCTTACAAAATTGTCAATTTTGCCGTGTTGGGCTTTCTTACGTTTTATTTCTCTCTATTTTACATTATTTATTATAGTCAAGTCAAGTCAAAAGATTTATTCAGTAAATAAAGGCCACCGGCCCAAAATACATGTCATACAAAATATGATATTTAACATTATAAGGTTGTGTCTTTTACAAGTTTTGACAATCATTACATTTAAATGCTACTGTGCTATAGATATCATGAGGTGGTAAATATAAGTAGAGATTTTCTTAAGGTGACAACAGACACTTTCCGTGGTACTCACATAAATGTCATTTAAACCAACTTATTTTAGTAATAATTGTTATTTATTTAATCGTTGTGCATTAAATGTCGTTGATCATCATAAAAAATAACATATTTGAAAAACATGCCTTTGTAAATGATTGATTTTTAATAAAAATCCTAAAAATTTTTAAATCGTCATATCAAAGTCATTTTTTATTTTTTTTTGTCATCAAACTTTTGGAAAATAAACATACTTATAATATCTGGGGAACCGTGTCTCAATTTTTTTCTATCTTTTCTCAAAAAAATATTACGTAACGTCAAACATTTTATGCGACTTTTTTCACCATACATATTACGTAATTAAAGATAATTAAGTCGCTGATTGAGCAAACAAAATCCCTGACACGGTTCCCTCCGTAAATGAATTCCCTTTCATGTGCTTTAAAACCGCATGTTAATTGCTTGATTATTAAAAAGTTACGGCCGATTCAAAGTTAGTCCGACCCGCATCAAAAACGAAGTGTCATAAATCGGCTGTTCTCTCTCGGACCCCTACGTTTCACGCTAAATAATTGCATAATACACAAATATCGCACCAGAGAGGGTCACAAGTTGCGGTAACATACTCTAACAACATTTTATGACCCAGTGACATCTGACCAATTAAAAAGTTGCTGATTAATATCAGTTTTATAACAGAAATTTCTTCAAATCTTAACGTGATTTACTGTCGGTCGCACATGTCACGTGACTTTCGGTAAAATCTGAGGCACTCGGTGGGGAGGGGGGGGGGGGGATGGAACGTATTTGCGCACCGCTAGCGGGGTATTTAATTGTTTCACTTTTGAAGTTTTATTATTATTATCATCAGCATTATTATTATATTATACCAGTGTCAATCTGTCTGTGTATTCGTGTATGAAATTCCGTTAAAATATAAATTAAAATAACAAAAAACTGAGCTTCTGACGGTCTTTTAAAGTCCATGGTAGATGTACAAATAAGAACGGGATATTATATATTTTTTCCTCCAAATTGATATAAATGCTTCACATATTTTAATAGTAATAAAAGGTATCACTCGATCATTATGATCTGACCTTCTTGACTTCTATTATCATGAATACACGTATCATCTATGCACGACATAGAGATCCAGTTTCTACTGGGATATACAAAAAATTCCATACTTTGTCCAAGGTTTATTAGTACTGTGTTCGGATTTACTGGGGGGCGAAAAACAATTTTTATTCAAGAGCATTCACTGATAATATAATTTTATTATCTTTTTTAAAACTGATCATAGAGAAATAATCATCCTTAGACAACCTAATAAATGGGTTTAGAAATTTGTCAGGGACACCTTTACACAAGTCATATAGGGAGTTCACATAAAAATGTTGTCGTTTTTTGTTGCTGTTTTTTACTTACAATTGTTACGAGGTTGAATGTAAAGCAGTCCTTGAAATCCGTAAAAAAGTCCATAAACTCATATCAGATTTTACGGGATAGACAATTATTTTCACACATTATGGATATTTTAGCACTATATTTTTAATCAAACCCCGTGGTCGTGCGAATTGCCGCTAATGCTTAATTATTTATGTTTCATACAATTATTTACGTACTTGACCGATAATTTCTTATTTATAAAAAGATAAATAAAAAGGTAGACGATATTCTAAAAGATGTACGGTTTTTTCTCGAAAGGTGGGTTGGCCCCGTTGGGGTAGTAATTCACCTATAGGAACTCGATTTCCCTTGAAGCCCAAAAGGGGCGGGCGTTTATCGATAATTGACAGGTTACGCGAATAGCAGATAAAAATGGTACAGGTACCGTTTTAAAACGTTTAAAAACACATTTTTTGGACTAACTGCTTCCAAAATTAAATCACAAATGTGTTCAGAAAAGGTTGATAAATCTACTAAGCAAAAAATCTCATTTTAGGTATTTTCAGTGATAATTGACTCCGTTGTCACCTTAATTATAAAAATATCATTTGATGAGAGTAATTCATAAAAGTTATGTAATTCATTTCCGGAATTATACCAGTTTAGTAAATAGGTATTTCTAATTTCTAAATATTTTTTACAATGAAAAAAGCATGATATTCACAGTCAATATGATAAGTTAAATGATTTTCAAGACAAAAGTTGCAAAAGCGTTCTTGAAAAGGTATATTTAAATGCCTACCGATTTCAACATTAAGTTTGTGATTTGAACATCGAAATTTAGCATATGCTTTCTTATGTTTTACAGGGATTTCTATTAGAAGATATCGTTCTACATTAATAAGCTTTTAAAATAACAATAATGGTGACATCTACTGGCATTGTTAATATTATCATGCCAATTTTGAGTATAACAATCTATTATGCGTTGTTTAAAAATGCTAACAAAAATATTCATATCTCCTATTTCTTGAGAAATCCAAATGTAACCAAATCCGTAACTGTATACAAGTATTCGTATTTTGCTAGCCCAACAAGTTCTTCCAGCTTCATCTAGTGATTTTAACATTAAATAACATTGTTTTGGGTAACGGTATGGTGGCATAACTAATAGCTTACACCAATAACGGATGCAATTTGTATAATAAGTAATACAAAGTGGGAGTCTACCACATTCACCTAACACCATGCTTGTGTTTGCATTTAATAAACCCTTACAGAACATATTATGAACAGATTCTGTAGTTGGACTAAATTCATACCCCCAAATCTGTGATCCATAACAAAGAATAGGGTTGATCATTGTATCAAAAATTTTAAAGTGTTCCTTTATGGGAAAATTACCAAATGGTTGTTCATAACCTTTGATAGCAAAAATTGCTCTTTGAGCTTGTGAAGCTAGTTTATCATGAGCTACATTCCATGATAGTTGTGGAGTGAATAACAAACCCATATATTTATAAACAGCAGTTGTATTTACAGGCTGACCGCGAAAAGACCAAGATTCATAATTACGAAGACGACCTCCATTTCGAAATACAATTATCTCTGTTTTGTCAAGATTAATTTCCATGCCTGTGTTCAAGCAAAATTGATCAATTACATTAAGTTGTTGTTGTAATTTTGTAGCAGTTTCAGCACAATTTGCAACATCATCTGCAAACATTAAACAAAGAATATCAGGAATATCATTTGTAATGAAAATGCCTGTGCCACATTTCTCTCTTAAAAGGGAAGATAACTCGTCTATAAATAATGTAAAAATTGTCGAACTTGTCTTATCACCTTGCCTTGTACCAATGTTACAGGGAAATAATTCAGTAATCATAACATTGTTAAACAAATCAGTTGTTTTAACACATGAAGAGAGATGAAAATACATTGATTTCAGAACTCGAAGAAAATTTCCAAAAACGCCCTTCTTTTCAAGTGACAAGAAAAGTTTAGAATGATTCACTTTATCAAATGCTTTACGGAAATCAACATAGAGACAGTAAAAGCGGCCACCCTGTTTAGAAAGATATTTTTGAACCATTGCTTGTAGACAAAAATCATTATCGATAGCCGAGTAACCACGCCTAAATCCTGCCTGAGATTCATCGATTTTTCTTTGATTTTCGGCCCAATCGTATAATCTTTTATTTATAATACCTGTAAAGACTTTATTTAATGTATTTGTAATAGATATGCCGCGATAATTAACAGGATTATTACTTGGCCCTGATTTATGAATTGGTGTAATCATGCTATTTCTCCAAGATATTGGAAATTGCCCTGTTTCGAGTATTTTGTTAAATAGTGTATGCAGAATAGGCGCTATTTCATCTCATGTATGTTTATAAAATTCGGAAGGTATGCCATCTGGGCCACAACTTTTATTATTAACTAATTTAGATATAGAATGTTTAATTTCTAGCAAAGTGAATGGTTCATTTAATGTCTGAGCTGTTTCATCGGCGGAATCATGTTCGTTTCCAACATAAGGATCAACAAACACTGAATTTTCGTCATACAACAAATCTCTAAAATAATTGAACCATTCTGTACAAGAAATACAAGGATCAGACATAGTAACAGTTTTGCCTTTCTTCACTAATTTCCAAAACGAACTTGGGTTGTTACTGTTTGATACTAGTTCTAATCGATTAGATTTCTGATATTCAGATATTCGTACATTACAATAGTCTTTAAACCTATTTCGTTTATCTTTATATATTCGTAAGTCAGACGAGGAATTACTTAATCTAAATGTGCGTAGCGCTGCGTATTTGTTAGCTTTTAACTCATTACATGTGTTATCCCACCACGGAGGTTGAGACGAATGAAAACAAAATTTCTTAAGCATGCATTTTCCAGCATCTTTATAAATAGAAGTAATACAGTCGACCTCAGAATCGACAGAGTTATCAATTGATTCCATTATCATCGTGTAGTGGTTATGAAACAATTCCCTAAATTTTTGCAAGAAATCTGTACCTGCAGACACACGCCATTTATATCTATCAAAAGTGTTCAATGATATTTGAGCAGTTTGGCTATCTGCGTTATTAGACTTTTTATGAAACACAAAAGTACAACATATAGGAAAATGATCAGATTCATCTCTAGTAAGAACCTCAAAATCTTTAATGTATGAAAATAGAGAAGAAGATGCGATCATAAAATCAACAACACTCGATCCATCATTTGAGAAGCAAGTAAATTCACCGTTTTTATCGCTTGGAAAACGACCATTAAGTATATGAATATCAAAAATACAGCATAAGTTTACTAAACATTTACCATAATTATTGCCACGTATATTATCCTTACTATGACGTACAATATCAAAAGTACTACCATTATAGTCAGTATTACCAAAAATAAAATTTAAATTATCACATGGGATAAAGTCTAAAAAAATTTTACATCGACTATTAAGGTCACCTGACAAAAATAACATGGTGTCCGGGTATTCATATGTAATTTGTTCAAAATGACTAAACATTTCATTGATACCGTTTTTATCGTCTCTATCATTATAGTAAGAACTTCCCTCAGGACTTATATATGTGAAATACATGATAATGTCATTACAATCAAATATTTTTGAAAAATTACAGTATAGTACAACACAGTTCTCAAAATGATCAAATATTTGTCTTATTGATATAAGTTTATGAATAGTACTTTTCACGAAAACACTAATTCCACCATTGTTCCTCAATGCATTATCTTTCATTTTCCTAACAAAGTCAAAATGCACATATGAATTTACAAAATTATTGAATTCTCCTTTGAATTTACTCCATGTTTCACATGTACTTAAAATATCAAAAGTATTCACAAACTTAAGAAAATCATCATCGTTTTCAAATTTATTTAATCCACAAACGTTCCATGACCCACATTTTATTTCTATTTGTTTATTTTGATGAGTAATATTTGGACTTCGGCCAAGCCCCTATTCATTGGATGTTATGAAGTGAGGTATGTCGTCACGGCTATCTGTGCGGTTATCGATTGGCTGACTTCCATCATGTGACTCTTCGTTGGTATCGCGACTATTCCCGCGCTCGCTATCGTCCAATCGTTGAGTATATACTATTATATTCTATTGTATATTTCAAACATATTAAAACTGTTTTGCGATATATGGAATTATCTTATTAACTTCTTCAATTATCCACGAAAAGTTTTTGGTAACATAATTGTGAAACAAAAAACAAAGCTTATAAAATAGTTTTTTGAGTGTATCATGTCTAATTCTTTTTTCATAAGAGCTAATTTTAGAGACAAAACAAAAACGTACCTTGCTGAGTTTATATATTATATGTTATCTTTTCCCCCATTTGATTCTTGTTAAAACATGCATTATTAAAACATTTGTTTAGTCATAAAATCAAGTTATCAACGTATGCAAGTTTAAGCAAAACAACATTTCAAAACATATTTCTTGTTTTATTGTTGGAAAAAGGCTCTATAAAAGCTGATTAGAGAAGTTAAATGTTAATTTTAATTAAAACATAGCTAAATATATCAAGTCTAAAACTACATTTAGATGAAAACAATCGTTAAAGAAATGATAATAGATAGTTACCAGGTTGACAAGGAACAGGACATGTGGGGTTCTCCTTCTTTTCAAGATCCAGTAATTTGCTCGCTATACCATCGATCTTATCATTTAGATCGGCATTCATGTCGATCAATTTTTCGAAAATTTGTTTCGATGATGCGCGACCACTATTAACCTCACAAAAGACGGCTGAGGACAGAAGAAAGAATGTAAACAGGCATCTTTGCTGTGACATAATTAAAATACTCTTGATAATAGAATTGGTCATTCACAAACGATGTTTTGCAGTGTTCTAATTGAAAAATGTCTATGTCATAGGCTATTTATTCGACTAGATTGCAACATATTTTTGCATCATAAAAATCGTTTTATATAAAGTGATATAAACAGGGATTTGCAGATAAATTGTAAGCAAATAATCTTCATAAATGTCAAAGGGTCCCATGTGTTTTGTGATTTCAATGATTTATTACCTCTCTGACTAGGCTATTCTTCTTAAACGGCATAGAGTCATTCTTTGTATATTTTATAATTATATTTTAATGAATACTTCAACATTGTACATATATAACAGGTATGTGAGTCATGCATATAGAACTGAACTTTAAGTTCCTAACAAAGAAACTTTTTGAAACAATAATAAATTTAAACATTTTGATTGATAAGAAACTTTGATATATAGTGAATGCGATATCGAAGTGTTCTCAACTAAACATGAATTTCAAAATGAAAATGCATTAAAGGTCGAACGTGAGATTATGATACATGTGACAGACTGTGAAATAAATTCTTATTGTTTGCTCTCCGTCCGTCCGTCCGTTCGGCCGTCAGTCTGTCCTTGTGTTTTTTTTTATTTATTTTTTAATTGTTTATTACTTTTCTGTCGAAGAAGGCAGGTAAGTCTCACAGAGTCTACAGACGCTACTGATTTAGAAAATTATAGACTTTACATAATTAGGAAATTAGCAACATGGCAAGTAGAAAAGATAGTACAGTCATATGTATGGACAAATAAAATTTAAGCCACTGGTTTGCGACTTTCTAAATATCACATCATATTCAATGGCTCCCTAGTCAATAATTGTTATATTAATATATAAATGGGCAAAGATTGAAAGAAAAAAACTTAAAGTACAGTCTTATACAACTTTTCATTTCGTTGATTCATTGAAGCGCATAAAAAGACGCACGTACCCAAAATGACGTCAGGCGTTCAAAGACTAAGCGAACGTTGCGCAAACAAAGTAAGTAAGCAATTCAAGTTTATACCCATCATAATGGTGTTACTTAACTTTTATAAAGTCATGATATTTAGTCAAGAAATATGCCATACAGAATAAAAACTCAACATTATTTTGGTAGCGCATGCGTGCTTAAATATCTTCCATTTATGAGTCTCAATATATGTAAATCTTAAGAAAACGATAATATTATTAATCGTTATTAATTGTTCTGTTGAATACTCTTTGGACCGATGAAATTGTTTGCGGTTTATCTAATTAATTGCCTTAATTTAAGTTCAAATTGTCATGAAATTTCACCGAGAATGTGTCTTTGTGCAACAAAAATAATCCAATTCAACGGCGATTAAACACTAGAGCAATATTTAATTTCGTGTTGAAAGTTACGGATAATGATTGACTACGACTTTGGTTGGTGCTAGTAGGCGTAGAGAATCATGATTGCACTTTTACATTATCTCTTACTTACATACTTAATGAACCGAGTCTGCAATTTTCATATAGTATTCTTGTTTACTGGTGTCCGGATAATATTTCCTTTCCAGATTTTTGTACGCTTAATTAACAATAGTTTTCTATTTAAGTGTGTTACTTAACTTAATTTAACAAATCACCAGCATATCTAAATGTTCCTTCTCATTTTTTGTTTGTTTTCCTTTTATTGTTTTAATACATGATTTTCAGTAAAGGTTTGCGAGGTATTTTCTTGCATTTACGTGCTCATCTCAATCATTTTGCATAAGAAACTTAAGGACTTTTGACATGAGAACGAGGCTATATGAAATAAGACTGGGTTATGCTATAGAACTGGACTGTTGCGGGTTTTTAGTCGTCACGCATTTAGAGAATCACGTATTTACTTGCGTGAAAGAAGTCGATGGCTGTTCTAGTTTTCTTTTCGTTTTACAAAAACAAATAAAAGAAAAAGAAAACAAGAAACAAACTAAGTAAACAAACATTCAACAAAAACAACAACAACAAAACACACCTTGTCTCATGCATAATATAACCATAGTTTTACTTACCCTGTTTCCGTTTCGACCTATTACGGACTAGAAACACACATTTTTAACATTCAAAATGAACAAGTGAGCTTTTAAAGAATTCGGTGCATTTTCGTATCTTTGGATGTGCCATTGATTTCAGTACAAACAAAATACTATATATCATTCTACGTCCTTTCGCTCCTTTTACACAGCAGCATGTCTTAGAATTGTGCCCTAAAATTTATTATGAAACGTGACAGACGTATAATAATGTTGTTTTGTAGTCACGGCAAAAGGCAATTTAATCATAATTACCATTTCTTTATCATAAAAACAACGTTGTATTTTACAGATTTCATTCAATGGGACTTCACACTTTCCTTTTTATTATATTTTTTTATTGTTTTTATATCAGCGGAACAAATGAGTAATTATAATGTTCCGTGAAACACAGTTTATAATAACTTTAAAATCTGTGAGAATTTTTTTATTGGTTTTATGCTCCTCGTCATTGATTTTGGCCTATTTATATTCCGATAGAAACCGGCGCCTACTCGTTTAGAAGTAAGGGAACGCAAATGGCCGTATAGAAGCCTTTTGTGCTAACGACCGTGTCCTTCGTGTACATTTATCCCTGAAATTATACGGTGATAGCATTAAACATTTTTGGAACGATTCGGTATGGATTTCACTTCGAAATATGTGATTACAGCACGATATATTATAGCCTTTGTTCTTATAATGTCTGGAAACATATTTTTATAGCTGTACTTGGTATGATCGTACATTTGGGAAAAACAACATACAGAATATGGTTTCCGCTTAGCGAACGATAAATATTCGTCTTAAGGAGAAACAGCACTTAAAAGCTCAGTTTAACAACCTGTAAATGTCAAATTATCATGTGCGACTGGTATAATGCACTTGTTACTTTGACGTTAAATAATGAGTCTAAATTTTTAGCAGACAATATTATTATCTGATACTTAAGTAGAAGTAGGCAAGCAATACAATTATGTAACATCAGTCTACGTTCCTTATAAAACAATACTGAATATAAAAAAAGAACAAAAATAAATAAATAAAAAAAAATTCATAACGTATTAAACTAAACCGACATTACTCGTGCACTTAATATAAACTGTCACACCATTTATACATGTACCAGACTATTGAATTATATGATTTGAATAAAAAATTGTCCATTTGTATGAATTTGCTTTGTTTTTCGTGCACCAATTCACCCCCCCCCCCCGGTAAATTGAACAAATGGTCCATTACCATAGGAATAATGATTGTTGAACATTCCTCTTTAATATACTGTTACCTATTTATTAGGTTGAATCATATGTTGTCCAAAAAATCTTCATTGATACATTTATTCATTCCATCAGCAAAAACTTACTACTGGATATATCCCCGTTAATCAACGTATCATACGCGCATTGTGTAAACCGTCGAAACATAACTTCAATCCTTATGTAGGTAAGTGAATGTTAAGTCGTCGTAAATTCCATCGCAAGACTGCGTCGCGTCACACAGATTGTATTTCATTAATAACACCAAACATAACTCTAAACTTTACTTAAGCAATACTGTAATGTTATTATATATTTTTATTCTTGGAAACATACACAGTAATTAAGTATTTCCTTAAAATGAAAAAAAAATCTAATGTTATTCATTTTTTGCGTTTTGTAATTAGTAAAGCGGGCATTCGAGGTTTATTCGTCAAGCCGTTTAGATGTTGAAATTTCTGAAAGTATTGAAACATTTTCGACTGTAATATACACAAAGTGTTGTACATGTTTCTTACAATTGTTTCTTTTTCGGGATTATGTACAGCCCGGAACAAACATAAATGTGTCTTAATAAACGAAACAAATATCATGGACTTTTAATAATCGACGATGCATATTCATTTAAATATGATTTGATGCATTATATATTATCACTCTGTTTGCATGTATGTACATTAAATGAGTTTATTTTAAGGAGAAATGATATGTGCCTTTTTGCATCCATATTTTTTAAAATGACAAATTTTAAAATTAAAATTAAAATTAAACATTTTAGACGGCTTAATTGGGTTTTATGCCAGGTAGGTTCGAAGGAGCCACCGATCTTCAGCCTTGATTTATCCTTTAACAATAACTCCACCTACCACGTCGGAGTAGGGTTGTGTATTCCGTTCGCAGCAACTTACTTTGGAAGTTTTCAAAAACGTCCTTTTTTTGCAAAACACTTTTATAGAGTTATATTGGAACGTCATTTTTCATTCCTTTTACACAAAGCATTTGGCATAGTTCAATAGATGAACTTGAAAATTAGAAAATCTATTTCTACAAGTCATGTGGGTCTATATCCAGTTACGCCGGAATGTGAAAATAACGCACGATTCGTGCAATAAGTAACGCAGAATTGTGCAATAAATGGCGGATACCTGGCAGGATTTCCAACGCGGTAAGTAAACTGGCCCATACATTTTTTATTAAACCGAACTGAAAAAATGAATAGCTGCATACGGCTTCGAAGACATTACTCTTTATCCCTCACCAAGACTATTTCCACGAAATCTTTTACTTTTCAAGATCATTCGTGAACATAATGAGTACCGTTTTGTTCGAGATTTTGGCTTCTTGCTGATTCTTATAAGTACAACAATGCATATTATACGGTATAATTTCGATTTTAGGTAGGCAAGTGACATTTACTAAACTTCTGGTGATATAGAAAATTGAAATAAGTTGATAAAATGGGATTGAAGTCGGTTTTTTATGAGGTAACGCCGATGTACGTGAATAGTGATTCGCGGTAACGCCGGAAAATGCGATTTTTTTCATATATGTTACGGAACTGTTACACAGGTCTAACGCCATTAATCGACGAGTATCAGCACTTTTCAAATAAATTTTTGTGGGGAAACTTTAATTCATATTATACAGAATTCATTTTAGTTTTGATTGCTTAGAAAGAAAGACGAAGTCTCAAATCCATCCCTGAAACCGCAGAGCTGTAAGCTTCGTAATATAAGTCTTTGTTGAAGTGAGTAC